TGTGAATTGATAAAATGACTGTACACTGCTGCTCAAATATCTTAAATTTAATATTCAGAAATGATAAAGAAAGGCTTAAAAAGCGTACAATGGTGACCTGGATCGATTTCTTTTGCATGAAAAGATTTATTCGAAACGTTCAGCTTCTGATAACCCCCTAAAACCATGATGTCACAGGGCGCTCAAAAAAGTTAAAAAAAGTTAAATTGGCATATTTCTGAACTTTTGTGGAAATGCTAAGATTTGATTGCAATTGAGTTAACGATAGTGACAGCTTTTGTCTGCCATTTCAGTGTTTCTAGCGCCAGTAACGTCCTTAAATCCATTAAGTTGAAATTAATTATTTTAATTCAGATTTTGAAATATCACCATCAAGTCACGAGAATGGCAATAGCAATTACATTAAGCTATGCAATCTACTAGTCGTGGTAGGAACGAAAGTTTTGAAAGATGTCTTTGATTCCATTCACCCACCTGAAAGTCTTCATGAGGTACTGCAGTCTAGTCTTATCCATAACCTACTGAAGAACCTCAAATCAAAGAGGCTTCTTTACAACCAGCAGTGGAATAWTCTTTATCCCACCTCAGGCAGCGTCACGTCGAGCAACTTTGATATAACACTGCTTCTTCTCCTCTTGAGACATGTTTGTAGACTGAAAGCTCCAGTTACAGGATGGTACAACCAGCCAAAATCAACAGACTTCAGTCTGCAAGCCGATCTGGTTAGAATAAGAWATTGTCGTAAWGAGCTAGTTCATAMTCCATCAGTACAGGCATTGTCTGAAAGTGAAATGGAGAAGAAATTTCTTGAGATCGAAGCAGCGTTGACAAGACTGRGTKGTAATAGCTATCTGCGAGAAATTCAGAAGCTTAAGTCGCAGGCAATTGTTTCTGAGARTGAMARCAGTGTTGAAGCTCCAATGCAAGCCAGGGAAGCCGAAGTATATAGAAGAAATATACTGGATRCAAWGMAGAGAATARACAGGAGATTGGAGCAAATGGCAACGAGCAGTTCACCAGGTATAAGCTGCTATTTTTATGTAGATTTGCTTGCTTTGTATTGTTTTATCTGTTTGTTCTAGTCCTAGTTACGCTAACTTGTTTGTTGGTGATATTGAAAATACAGGTTTATTTACAATCTCGTACAGAGACCGCAGTATTGCCATTTAGCGGAAGTCAATGCTTGAGAGACTCTGGGGGAATGCGATATTTCTCGATTAGTCAAGAAATCATACTTTTATCTAAACACAAATATTATTCACATATAATTTTATTTTTAAAATGGTGTCAATACATTCCTAAACTACGTTGTGTGCCAAACATTCTTCTAAAGTTTATATCATTTTCTAAAATACTTAGGATACTACGCGCGCTGTGATTGGTAGAAAACCATGTTTGATTACAGTATCAAAACACGCTCGCGCGCGTCAAAATTTTTTTATATTCTTAAACCTATTCTATAAACCACGCGTCGTGGTTTCCTACGCTTCTCTCGTGCTCTCCCTACATCCCGCGTGTTTTGATCAGAGTATCAAACACGGAATTTCGTCTTTTATTCCTTAATTAATACTCTAAAAGCAAAAACAAAATTGCCGAAATTTGCATAATTTGCGACGGAAAAGCTTCGCAAATCCAGTCTTACCGGCGCCAGCATTCCGCTGACACTTAGCCGTGAAGACTCTAGGCTCGAGATTGGTTTCTTTATGGAGTGCTAACGTACGGGATTTTCACAAGAGTCGATGATGAATCTGAAATGAAACGAGTGAGCGTAGCGTTTGTTTGGTTTGGTTTGGTTGGCTTGGCTTGGCTTGGCTTGGTTTTGTTGTTGTTTTCTTTGTTTGTTTGTTTTTTGTTGTTGTTTTTTGTTTTGCTTTTTACTTTTTTCGTTTGCTATATCTATTTATAACTTCTTTCTTTCAGTACAAATCAAAATTAACTGCTCCTWCAAACAAATAGCAGCTGGAGGAACAGCCTTGATGATATGGACTGCTTTAAGTGCTTCTATATTAAATCACTACAGAGACGAACCTGACAGGATGATAGATCTCTTTCAAAATAACATTTTACCTGGTGCTCTCGCAACTGTTGCAATTGTATCTGCATTGCTACAAGGCTCCGTCGAAATCCTTGTCGAGGTCCAATCTCTTGCAGCCTTAAAACAGTTATGGAAACGGTGCGTAAACCTTAAAATAATTTGAGTTTGAAGTCTAAAAAATGGTCGGTCTTTGCAGACAGTGATGGGTAAACCAGTTCCGTCGATAATTTGTTGTATTGCAGTATCAATATAAAGCTAGAATTGTAGTTTGACACCTCGAGACAAAAGTTTTTTGAAGAATTTCAAGTTGTCTGTATATCAGGATTAGATCATGGCAATGATCGATTTTCTGTTGTGATTACCTTGGTGACTATGTAATGAATTTGATCGAGTTGTAACCTTTTGTCACGGCATGTCTCTAAGATCTGGAAATAATCTTCGCAATCGTGTGCAAACCAATAGATTCCAAAATTTTGTAACTGTAAAATTCCAAATGTAAGTGTTTTGTCGACCCTTTTCCATTTATTTACCAAGCCTGTAATTCAGTATTATCATTACTGCCATTGGCCTTAATAAGTAGTGTATAAATTAAGAACGAAAGAGTGTGTTTTTTATCGGGTGATAAAGATCCGAGCCGAAGACGATAAAACACACTCTTTCGTTCTTTATACTACTTATCAAACTTAAATAATTCATAATTCTAATAATTGTAAGTTATTGTTGTCTATTTTTTTCGGCTTGTTGTTTATCTCCGTAGCCTTATTCCACATTCATTCTAAAACTCGGTTCCTGATTGACAATACTTTGTTTTGATTAGTTAAAGAATAGTTCGTTATACCATTCAAACTATTCACCCTACATTGAACAAAAGCTTAATGAATGACTTCAAAGTGTATTATCAGCTTAATTATATCCATTTTGAAATCACAAGTGAATCCTGCAATCTGATTGGTTCTTAGGAATTGCCTCCTTCTAAGCACTATAACTT